TTCACACTGATTAGAATTCTAAAATTATCTTACCCTGAACAGTGCCTTGCACAGAATAGGTATTATTGATTAAAAATCACTGGGTTGTTTAGCAGATGTCACCAAGTTCTTAACTTTCCCCAAGCTAAGTGTTTATAACCAGATATGCAGGTGTAGAGTTACTATACTTTTGCAAAGGGGGAAAATACCCAAATAAAATATAGTGATGTTACCATAAAAAAAAATCCATAGTTTAGACTTTAAATAAAAGGAAGTGTTTGACATTTGTGGGCTTTCTTTTTAACAGGGACACAGTTGCCGTGACAGGGTGGCTATATATTTGTAATGGTCTCAGTTTATAGACACAGTCCAAGCCCAGCCAAAGCATTTGGCTTTCAATACAAGAGGAAAAGATGAAGAGGTCAAGTTTGTTAGTAATAAAAAAAAAATAGGGACAAATCAACTAAAAAGAATTCAGAATAAAGAGACGGCTTGATAAAGTGGAACCTGATAAATTTTTCCAAAGGTCTGAGAATATCCAGTGCCTCAATCCAGAAAGAAACTGCTCACTGAGATAAAACTGAGCTAGTGCAAGTGGAGACATATGGAATAAATTTTCTAGCAAGGGCCCTAAATCAAACACTATAAATGAGTTCAAGAAACGGCAGTACATTTTAACAAAGAAAGTTGAGATCACTAAGATGCAGTGATAAAACTAATGAAAGGAGCTGAGATAACCAGATAAGAATAGCTCTCCGGTCAAGCCATCCATTTGTGACTGGGTATTTATTTCTTTCTTTTTATCATAGTTTACTGTAGTTTGCAGGTGCCTTCAAATACATAAATGAATCCCTTGGGCCTTAGCAAGCACTTTGTGTTACTTGAAACTTCAATTATGATAAAGAATGTTTCACACATCCAGCTCTGAACTCCTATCATACTATACAGATGGTTCCTGCTTTGAAGTGGTACATAGAGCAGTCGCCATATACAGTCACATCTCCTTGTACATCATTCAGGAAGTCAGACAGCTAGGCAGGACTGTGAACAAACAGTAGGGACGTGTGCAAGTGTCCTAAGACTCTGGCCATGGTGACAACATGACCAAGTCCATAATATAAATGAAAGGTACAATTTAAAAATCATCATCTACCCCCAAAGCCATTGCATTCATAGTACTCTGCCCAATTACATATTTGTTACTTAAACAAGAGGCTGTTGTTCTCAGTGTTTGCCCTCAAGTTGTTAGTCAGCTGCTGACCTCATAATCTGCACAGCTGCGGCATCCTGATATGTTGTCGTGAAACAGATTGTGATGTTTTAATTGATCACTTTCAGGGGTTGCAATTGTCAAGTGAAACCAGTGTGCTGATTCTTATTAGTTAAATTAAGCCTTGTTACAGCAGAACCAGCTAATTCACTCTAATGACGGGAAATACAATGCAAATTGCGGCATTGTGTAGATTAGGACGCATCTAAAGCTTTTTCTTTATATGTTTCTTTTTTTCTTTTTGATTTTTAAAAATCGGTGGAGCCCATACCTCCCCAAAATGCTTTTATTATACAGTGAAGCAACTTCTGGGAACAGAAAATTGAATGTAACTTCCCCACACCATATGCATCTCGGTGATAAGTTGGAGTGTGCCATATGACACACACAATTTAAATCAGGCATTGATTTGCATGACTCTAAGTGAGTTTGGAAGACTCAGCTAAGTGTAATGGATGTCAGGCCCTGCTGCAAATTGCCTCGCAGAAAGAATATTGTGTTCTTCCTCATCACCCCCAAAGATTGTAGGCGCCTAGATGCTTGAGGAAAGCTCTTAGATGAATGCCCAATCGCAAGAGGCATTTCCTTGTGCCTCCATTTGGCCATTGGTGAAGTCTTCACTATGGCATCAACCTTCAGACCTCATTTGCAAGTGCCCCAATACACTCACCCACTTTGAATGGACCTATTCTAACCGGGTGCCTGAACCACCTGCTGTCCATCTTAGTTCAGAAATCTTACTGTAACAGGAGTGATGGACAGTGTCATGGATAGCAGTTTTAAGACACCTCAAAAATGGACCTTTATGGGCCCTACAAGTCAAGTTTTTTCAAAAATTTTAATTTTGACATCTCAAATAAATAGATGCCTGTGTCTCACTGATTTTATTGGTGCATAATGAAAACTAAATCGAAGTAAAGTTCAATTCATGTTTAACTGTTAGCATCCAAAATACAATAGGAAGCACAAGTATGTTCATCAAAGCAGTTTTTTTATAATAGAAAAAAAGTCAAATAATAACTGATGCTCATCAGTAGGCAAATAGGTACATTATGATATACCTGTATAATGGGATGTTGTGCAGATATTAAAAACATCTCTAAAGACTATTTACTGACATGGGAAAGCTTAACAATGTGAAATTAAATGAAAAAAAATCACATTTGCCAAATTATATAAGTGGTATTTCTCAACCTATGTATAATACTATATCTAGAGGGAGAAAATGCAGTAAAATATTGTAGTAATTTTTGAGTGGAGTTTATATAAAGTGTCTTTATTATTTTATCTATTCTTTGTTTTTCAAGTTTTCCGTAGCAAACCCATATTATTTTAACAAGCGGGAAAAAGAGTTTTTAAAAGCAGTTTGAGTAGTTTTGTTATGACATTTGCTGCAGGAGTCTCTGTTCAAGGCAGCGCCCACCTAAAGGCCTGGGAATTAGCTCCTGTCTGCTTTGCCCGATCCCGCTCCTTTTGAAGCCTTCTCTTTCTCAGTTAAAGGCAGCTCCAGTCTTCCAGTTGCTTAGACTAAAATTGGAAGTGACCTTAACTCTTCTTTCTCTCCCATCCCACAGTCCATCTACTGGCCAACCCAATGGGCCCTTCCTTCAGAATGTAGCCAGCATGTGACCAGCGTCTTGCCATCTCCTCTGCTGCTCGACCTGGTCCAAGCCACCATCCTCTCTTGCTGGAACCGTGGCAGTAGCCTGCTCTCTCAGTTTCTATCCTTGTCTTCTTTGTGTCAGTTTTCCACAGAGCAGCCAAAACTGCTTAAAATGGAACTCAGATCCATCACTCCTCTGCCCAGAGACCTCCAATAGCTCCTAAAAGACCCTATGTGGTGTCTCCCCTGTCATCTCTCTGGCCCTGGTACCTGCTTGCTTGCCTCAATGCACTGCCAGACCACACTGCTCGCCCTATTGTTCCTCTCTTCCCTTGGGATGTTGGCAGTGGCTTTTGCTTTTGCTTTGTAGGAATATGTTTCCCCTAAATATCTCCATGGCCAGCCCTCCTCATTCAGGTTTTTCCTCAGATATCATCTGCCGCCTTCCATCACCCAAGTGTTTCCTGATCACTCCAACACACACACACACACACACACACAAACACACACACACACCCTAACCCGCTTCCTTGCTTTAATTTTCTCTACTTAGCACTTATCTTCATATAACATATTGTATACTATGTGGATTTGTTTATTGCCATTCTCTGTCAAGTTGAATATAAGCTCTATGAGAGCAGGTTATTTGTTTTAAATTTTCATAGCTGAATCCCCAACCCCTAGAGCAGTGCCTGGCACATAGTAGTTGCTCAGTAACTACGTTGGATCCTGACCATTGATAGGAAAGATTATCTATTACAATTGTGTGATAATTATCCCGGTGACTTTTCTGAGGCACTTTGCCTATCAATTTACCCACCTAGATTGAACGTGTAGTCATGTTGATGTGTTTCTTCTGGATTGCTTTTCTCTTTTTATCTAAATTAATTCTAGATGAATTGGAAAAATCCATTTCTTCCTTAATATTAAGTTCAGTGTTTAAGCTCCTAAGAAATTATTTTGATTCAATTGCTTTCATTTTCTAACTTAACCACTATATATAGAGTTCCTAAAATATTCTAGGGACTTCTGGGGAGTGGTGTTAAAATGAAGAAGACAGACATTGACTCTAATCTTACAGCATTTCCTATTTAGTGGACAGACAAAATTAAACAGTAAGTGGAAATGCAACACTAATATCCAGTATGAGAACGGCCACTGACCAATACACACAATAAAAATCCAGGATCAAATGTCAGATGCAAAATAGAGAATCCATTGAAGAGAGATGAGAAAGATGTGTATCAACAAAGCACACTACTTTTTTATCTCTGTTTTAAAAGACAGGGTGACTTTTCTTCACGTGGGAGGGAATGGGCAAAGGGGATTTATTTAGCTTTGGAGCAAAGAATCAGGGAACAATGGAAAGAGCAGTGCATTTAGAGTAAGAGGACCTAGATTTGCATCTATCACTACAACTTGAACCTATCGTCTGCAAGTCCTAAAAGCTGACGCTTAACTTCTTTCAGTTTGTGTTATCTCATTGGTTAAAAAAAGGGCGGTGGTAGTTAGAGTAGCTCTAGAGACCTCTGTGGACATGCAAGGCCAGCTAACAAGAGGGGACGCGAAGGAAGTTTTAAGAGTTTTTGTAATATTTCTGCTAGCCTGAGACTTATCTTAAGCAGCTCTGGGTTCTGAAAATCCTTTTCAGAACTTTATCATTTGCTGAATTTTTCATATTTTAATCAGTTGCTATATTACCACTCATACATAAAAGTAAAACATAGAATTGATGCTTGGATATATTCCTTTTGCCTTTTTTTTCTTTTTTTCGACATTATCCTTATTAAAGAGATCAAATCTTTTCGATTTCCTTATTTCATTTGAAATTATCGTTTTGAATGAAAAGTTATCATTTAAAGTGAAAAACAAATGACTCCTTTCCCATTTAATTTTAAACTAACACAAGGGGATAGAAATTAAAATTACTTCTTAACAATCTGTATTCGCTTTTTAAATAAAAGCATGTCCCTAGCTTGATAACCTGTGACAGCCACTGCAGAATTAGGATATATGTATATCCCACACTTACCACTTATACACACCTATCTGAATTTTCTGTCTTCTGAGAGAAGCTTGTTTGGATAAATAGAGCTTACTAATTTACATGTTTCTTTCCCCTCCCTTGTTTCTTTTTCTGTTTTTCAGCCTTTGCAACTCGACTGTGACCTTTGTGCCATAGTGTCAAACTCAGGTCAGATGGCTGGCCAGAAGGTTGGGAATGAGATAGATCAGTCCTCCTGCATTTGGAGAATGAACAATGCCCCCACCAAGGGATACGAAGAAGATGTTGGCCGCATGACAATGATTCGAGTTGTGTCCCATACCAGCGTTCCTCTTTTGCTAAAAAACCCTGATTATTTTTTCAAGGAGGCAAACACTACTATTTATGTTATTTGGGGCCCTTTCCGCAATATGAGGAAAGATGGCAATGGCATCGTTTACAACATGTTGAAAAAGACTGTTGACATCTATCCGAATGCCCAAATTTATGTCACCACAGAGAAGCGCATGAGTTACTGTGATGGAGTTTTTAAGAAGGAAACCGGGAAAGACAGGTGAGTCCTCTGAGAAGCAACCTTATTGTCCTTTATGCTAAACCTTTGCTGAGTCTTTTTGTCAGCTATCAAATGAACAGTTATTTTTAAAACTGATTGTTACATTTTGACTATTATGATTCCTTGATGCGCCAGCAGATAGGCCCCATTTATTCCACGTATACTACCTTCTTTTCTCTCCATTTTGATTGGCTTGAGGCTCCGAAAAACACGGGATGCTTCCCCAGAATAGCTTTCGATTTGTTCTTATTTAGTTTAATTTGCTATTGATTAAATTGGATTTTATCCAAAAGAGGAAGTTTATATATTTCTGTGTCGAAACAGAAATGTTCAGGAACGTTAGGACCTAAACTCCTTTGGAAGTTATGGCAAAAATTTACCTGAGACCACAAAACACAACAGGCTATTGATTCTCTAATTAGGTTATATAGCTTCTTGCATACAAATAGACCCTATGATCATGAACACCATAACTTGGTATCTAACATGTTAAGCAGAATACCACATTGAAATTGTATGTTACTTAAAATCATTAATAGTGGATTCATGAAGCAAAATAAGATATAAATACCATTCACTCAGTTATCCAAAAATCTGTTTACATTTTTCATTGCATCCATTTCTTTCTGCAGCATTCTATGAACTACCACTTCCACTCCCTTTTCTTGAGGCCTGCTTGCCTCATTCTTCTCCTACTCCTAACTTCTACTTCCTCTTCATCTCCCTCATCTCCAATATAACTCTATTGCCTGCCATTTTTTCTCCCTCTTTAGAAAGGGAACCAGTATATGGGAGAGAAATGGAATTATAAATCAGTAGATCTTAGTTCATATATCTAATTCTAATAAAGAACTGCTAAAATAAAACTTTAAAAGTAATTGTTAAAGTTTTAAATTATCTGTGAATTTTGCTTATTCATGTTACCATGGGTAAACTGAGCATTGACTATAATTCCAATATTAACATTCCAATGCCTCAAAATGTATATCTTTTACTCTTCAATATTATCAAGTCTAAATTTTTAATTATATTGGGGTATGTGCTTATAGGGGCAAAGTTTCTGATATTTCTGGGCATAATTTTAATGATGATTATTTTAAAATCATATCTCCTATTGACAATGTAGGTTGAATTTAGCGTTTTCTACTTCTGAACACCAAAAATGTACAGCTTCTAATGAAATGCAAGAGAGAAATAGCCATAATACTGTCTCTTTTTACTATTAGAGTTACCAAGAAGAATCACAATGCTTATGTTTGAGTCAGTATAGCATAAGCTGCCCAAAGAGACAGGCAGTAAAGATAAAAGGAGTAGGTATGTGCTTCAAAAAAATGTTCTCACATGTAGCCCCATTCTATATAAATATGATCATTGTCAAGGGGCTTTGGAAATTTCTGGTCTCTCACTAGCCCAGAGCAATGCAATTAATTAGATATATTTGGTTTTTCATTAGTCACAGTTAGCCCTTGGGATATCCCCCGGTCCTAACTGTAAGCCTTAGAACCATTTCAGGGTATCAGAGAAGAACTTAGCATGCCATATGTTTCTGTGTGTTTATATTATGTTGGCCTTTGCTGTGAGCTTTCAATGAGACAGCCCTGTCACAGATGTGTGGATTGTGCAACAAGAACTCAGAGAGAATAGCTTTGGGAGATGTATTTCCCTACTGGCTATGATGAGGAAAGCTGTTTGAAAGCTGTGGGGACAAGTTTACTTTGTAAAATTAATTGGTAGGTATTATTCAAAATAAATGTAGGGGGGAAAAAAGCCAGAATAATTTTTTGATGCATTCTTGCTGTTTTCTTCAATGAGTCTCTGTTTGGTTGCTTCACTGAGTATTGCAACCAGGCCAAAAAAGACAACTATGCTAGTGTTTTAGAAATGATCAGAATAGATGGTTTTAGTAAAATCTGGTTGGGTGACAAAGGTTGACCAAAATGACCTCAAAAGCTGCTCTCTCCACTATGATTTAAATCTATATCCTAACTTTAGTTGTGCAGATATTATTGTTTAAGGATTTCATATAGCGACCTGATGTTCATTGCCAAATTTCAAACAAGAATATTTTAAAACTTTCTGTGAAGGAAAATGTCAAACACAAAATGGAGAGACTAATGGTGTAATGAACCTTTGTATACCAACTGCTCAGGCTAAATAGCTATTAACTCATGGCCAGCCTTGTTTCATCTATACCCCTACACACATTTTCTCTCTCTAAGGATTATTTTGAAGCAAAAGCCAGACATTATATTGTTTCATTCATAAATATTTTAGCATGTATCTCTAAAAGATAAAATTCTTGAAGATAAACACAATATTGTCCTACATAAAAGTCTGCAATACTTCCTTAATAACATTATATATTTAGCCTGTTTTCAAGTTTCTCCAATAATCTCATTAACATTTTTAGCAGTTAATTTGAATCAGTATTACCATTAAGATCCATACATTTTTTTCAAATAAGAATTAACACGTGGTCTATACATTACAATGAATTGATATACCACCTACGTTTCTCTTAACCTATAGTTTCTTCTCTCCCTCTATGTCACTCAATAATTGAAGAAAAAAAAAATCTAGTCATTTTCCATGTAGAGCTTTCTTCAATCTAGATTTTTCTAATTGGTACCCCCATGATATTTCTTCTACATTGATATTTCTATATTGAGACTTTATTGGATTCAAGTTGGTTTGTTGTTTTGGTTTTTGTTTGTTTTTTACCAAGACCATTAGGTGATATTTCCATCAGGAGGAATACTGTCTAGTTTTCTCTTTTTATATGTTGGTGGTCATTAATGATCATTGTCTAGATCCAATAATTCATTAAGTTTACAAAATGGTGATATTTCATCATTTTTTTTATTTGTTTGCTGATATACTTTATAAAGAGAACCTTGTCCTCATTAACCACTGGGTTACCATGAGATAGAGAGTACGAATCCTTTCTCTTTATCAATTTTGAGACATTGGTTCCCTAGCATCATCCAAAAGTGACCAGTAAGTTTATTATTATCAATATTTACATACTGGCTTATATACTTAAACATATACATATTTGAAATATTTTAGTTCATTAAAATTATCTTTTTATGTTTTGGATAGCTTCTTTACTTCCTGGTGTTGTATGATGTTGCAGGCTCTTCTTGTACATATCTGATGCAAACCTGGATTCATACATTTTTCCAAAGAACTTTGGTCCTTTTAGTATTTAGAAGAACATAATCTTGGTACTACAGGTACTCATTGCTGCTGGTCTGGTCTTCGTTTCTTGGTCTTTTCATTGGGCAGAGATGGTATATAAAGAACATGTGCCGTATATATTGTTTAAAGATAAAGTCATTATGAGTTCAAACTGAAACCAGGGATACCAGGTTTTTATTTTACCCCCATCAGTCTCACATCTGTTTATTCTTTCTGCCATGTTGACAATCATAGGTCCTAGAGACACCAATGTAATTACTGAACTGCTTTATCCCTCAGCCTACATGCAACAATCAGAATAACAGCATAACCAGCAGTATTATTACTGTCAATATTTTAAGATGATTTTGCATCAAACATGACATTTTAATGACAAGCATTCATGTGGGTTCATGCTCACAAAGTGTATGTTGGTTATATCCTAACAAAAGTTGTAAATATTTTCCTCCTAAGTAAATAAGTTAAATGGTATATACATCATTGCAGCCTTGAGGGACTGAGGAAATAGAGATGTCCATTTAATTTAACATTTGTTGTTAAGCTATTTTGATTTGCCTGAACTTATTGGAAGTTTTTAGCAAGTGCTCATTTTCTTCAAGTTTTTAATGGAGAGGTTGTGTCACCATTATGATGCATAATTTATAGAATTTTTTAAAATTGTGTCCTAAGTAGTTAAAGTGATTCATGATAGGTAAATGATTAAATTGAGTTTCTTAAAGAAAAATGTGCCTCTCAGCTTTCTTTTTCAAATTGTCATGTCCTTTCTTAAAAAAATATAAGCCCCTCCTCTATTTAAGTTGGGCATTTTAATTTTTCTAGTGGTTTTTATTTTTGTCTTATGGAATTCCTCTTTGAGAAGACAAGAAGTAGTAAAAGAAATGTTTATACTGTTAAATTTCTTAGAGCAAGTTTAGACCAACTCTTAAGCATATTGGAATACTTTTTCAAACCAAATGAAATTCAATTTACTCTCATCAGTTACTGACTAAATTATTTGGCTTGTTAATTAGAAAGGGTGACCTTATTGGAAAGGCTGGGAGAACAGAAAAGTGTTCTTTCTTTCTTCATCTTCTGGGGTCCAGTTTTCTTTGGAATTCTAGGTCCTTTGGGCAGTGGTCAACTTTATATTTTCACTTGCCAAATATTTTTTTCTGGGAAACAACAACCTTCAGCAAACCAGAAACCTTTGGAAGTAAAAGTCTTCTATTCAAAATCATCTGGGACAAAATGGATCTCCTTTTCCCCTTTGAATGATTGGTATGCATAAATAATATTTGCCTGCTGACATTTACACATTTTTATTAATACATTTTAAGACTGAAATACCCTAGAGGTGCTATAGGGCTGACAGTGTTACATGGAGCAACACTGAACATTTGAAGAGTGTGATTATGTGCCCTGCAATGTCCAGATGCAAAACAAATGTTCACTTTCCTGGAGAAGCAACAGAGAGCCAGTGTGAGGTATTCTGCTTACCTGTGGGAAGGTAGGCAGTTGCAGCTTGTATCCCACTTTAGAAATACGTTGGCAAATGTATGCACATTATTTAATTAAGTAATAATTGAGAAAGCTGTATTCCCCATTAAAAGTGCAAAGCTAATTCAAGACTGATAAAGGGCCCTGAGCTGCCCTAAATAGGTCTTAATTATCTGCCACCAATGTGGCTCTGCCTTCAGGGATGGAGGAAATTAATGAAAGCTAGCAGCGAATAGATCAATGTTTCAAGACGTTTCTACCTCAGTTGTAGAAGATGAGAAGGGAGAGGGTTACTTTTGAGGATCGCTAAGGGAAAAGGATAC